TGGGGAGTTAAAAATTCCTGATTGCAAGATTAATTCCGAATGATGTCAGACCCTATGAAAGAACCTTCAGATACCACCGATAGTGGAGAAATACAAATACCGTTCTTAGATGAGGGCTTGGCTCGTGCTAGGTCAGTACGTGGCCATGCCATATGATGCTGGGGCATTTTGTGTATTATTTACCTAATATTTCCTTCCTTGCTTCACATGCACACCCCGTGGATGCATTAAGCTTTTATGAGATATATCTCAATGTAGGTAGTTACATTGATGTTTTGGTTAGAGAGAGATTCGTTCCTTCATTTACATTTTCAGATCAGGGAACATTCTATGGTTTTCTCTTCCTATAGAATAGTAATATGATGTTGGATATTTTATGCTTATTCCTTATTTTAGTATTATTTTAGCATGGACTTCTAATAGCAATATTAGCTTGAGTGCTTTAAATGCATTATTATATATTTTTATGAGATTTTATGAATAGTATATATTTTTTGAATGGTTACATTGATGTTTTCAGATGAAAACAGACTTTTTCCTCCGATTTAGTTTAACATTATCCAGGAACATTTTATGCCAGCTGTTTTGCTTTCACAAATCCTTGATTTAATTTTACACTTATATTTCTATTTCAGAAAAGAAAATATGATGCTGGGTAATATATGTTCAAAAAATGCAATATCACCTTCAGTGCTTTAATTACACACCTGTGGAATTTTTATATTTTATAAGCGATAATCAATGTATAGTTAGTTACATTGATGTTTTGGTCGGAGAGGGGTTTATTTCCCTTTATTTTAATGTTTACAGTATCATGGAACATTAATCTTGTTCACATACTTATATATCTATTCAATTAGAATAGAAAATATGTTGGGTATTTTATGCTTATTCTTGACTCAGTATATGCCGCTTTTGAAAGCAATATCAAGTACTCTAAATAGATTTTAATATTGATGTTTGGGGCATAGAGGGATTTTCCCTCCATATTATCAGGGAAAATTCCATGCCAGCTGTTTTGCTTTTATTTTATAACATATATTTGTTCATTACAGCATTTATTTAGTTAATTACTATTTTCTATCAACATTATTTATTTGTTTATGTATATTATTATTATGTATCTATGAAGTTAATAATTCATAAATGCTTTGTTTTTGTATTTGATTTTATATCTAATTTTCTTTTTCTCTTCATATTTTGTTGGGTACTTGTTTATTTATTCATTCATATATTTATTATTTTTTATCCATCATCCTTAATATTTCGTATTGTTATTTATTTCATATATAATTATTTTTTCTTAGTTTTTCGTTATTTTCTGAACAAATTTTCATTGTATTAGATGTTTGGTACAGAAACTGAATATATCCACTGTTGTATCAGAACAACTCGCTGGATATACAAATATACAGGCCTATACTGTATACAATTTGGTGTCTATAACGGTGTATTAAATAAAACAAAAATTAAATCAATATTTTTTTATGCGTCATCCATTTCTTATGAATTGTTTTGATAGGGCGTTGTGATTAATTTTTGCATAAGCTATGCAAAATAGTTGTTCGTTTGAATGTGCAGTGTATGTTTGCTAATTGTTGTGTGTGTGAGTGGCTGGTGAGGACGTTTATCCGTCACAAATTATCAATCAACAAGCAGAATAGCCTCCCGGATCAAACGTAGGAGGAACAATCAGGTGACCTCTTTGGAACAGTCACGTGGGCGTGATGATCGTAGGATCGATCATCGGACGGATGTATCCAGAGGGGGGGGGGGGTCGTGGCCCATTCCCAGGTGGTCTCCCATCCAAATACTAATTGGGCCTGACGCTGATCTAAGGACTTTTGACAGTATTGGACATTGATGATTCGTCTAATTTGCACAGTTCTCATAAAGAATTAATTCTGTCCACTCAGAATTTATTCTATAAATAGAATAAATTTTGAGTGGACAGAATTAATTCTGAGGCGACAGAAAAAAATGATGTATTACAGAATTAATTTTGTACATAGAATAGTTTGAAGTTAATGATTCTGTCGGATACGTAATTATTTCTGTTAACATAGAAAAATTTGACAATAATTCTGCGGTACAATTATTATGTGTAAAAATTTCTTTTTACACAATTAATTATGTACACATAATAATTTGACAGTGTAATTGTAATTTTAAACACTGTTTAAATAACTTGTTTTCTTCAACACTGCCATACTACGGTACTGAATAAGCGCTGATATGCAATGTAACAATACTACTTTTCTTAAACTTTAATCAGATCCAGTTACTGTACTACAGTGTGAATTTCAGAATTATCATTAGTATTAATCGAGATATAAAATTTAACTGTTTATTGACAGATATATTAATTCTGTAAATGTTTTGTATACTAGGCTACATAATGTATAGTAATGTATGGTTACTACATCGAAATAGGCCTACTTCTCAATTGTAATTTAAATTAGTACTAAATTTACAAAATATGTTCTTAATTAGGATTTAGTCACATTTGTTTATTTTCTTTTATCGGCTATTCGTTTATAGGCCTACTCACATTTATTTTTCTTTTATCGCGACTATTAGTTAAACATGATATAGATTGATAGACCAAAATGTGATTCATATAACTCAATGTTATAATGTTAAAATCATCGGTAAGTAGGGCTGGAATCCCT